CCAGTGACCTCCCTCCATGTTTTCCACAACTCTGTTTCTCTCTGGACTGAATTCTTTGTCTATTTATTTAGCATCTTTCTTCCATCCTGTGTTTTGCGCAGACACATCACCATGGTACCGAGGTTCCCTGTGGTCAGTATTAGATATTAATCATTGAGATGTTGGAGGATTTGTCTCCATTTTCACAGGAAAAATTCACAGGATAAAAGAATTCAGTTGTCTGTGTTCTGGGGTAGATTGTGAGTGAGACCAGACTCTTGGACCCCATTCCTGTCTGGTCAGGCCATCCTTTCCATTTGGGGCTTAAAGAAAGACACGTTCCACAGGACAGACCCCAAACCCTGTGTTAGGAAATCTTGACATTTTCCTGCCTTCCCTGGACTTGTAAGGTTGTGATTTATCAAGCAAGAACACAGCAAACCAACACCTTGTTCTACAGCCTCACTGCAGGGATGATTCATATGGGCTGCTGATGGCAGGCACCTGAGACTGCATTTTGGCTGCTCTTCTGGAAACAGTGAGCCCTTTGTGGATATCTGGTCATTAGATGATGAATTTTTGTTTGCTCCCACCTGAGCTTACTTCAGGCTCAGATGCCACACATCTTCATTAATCCTCTTAGCCCTCCCTGATTTGGCTGCACCTTGTTACCTGAAAGAAAGGAATTTGATAATGCACCAGTGAAATGAGCTGCAGTGATCTGACATCCAAACCCAGAAGCAGACAACACTTTCTCCAGAGAAAAGCCCCACCAGTTTCTCTGTCAGTTGTATTTACCTGGTACAGTGCCAGACCACCCCAAGGCTGGGACGTGTGCTGGGCAGTGCCTGCTGGCTGCTGGGATGGACTGGGGGCACACAGAGGGGTTTCTGTGGGCTGCATGGGGCTGTGGCAATGCTGAGGAGCAAAGTCTCCAGCACACAGCAGCCACAAAATCTGTCTGAGCTCAGAAAAGCATATTCTGGAAGCTTGGGCTTGTTTAATGGGAAAAAAAAATTCAAAAATTTTAAAAAGAGAAGGAAAAAAAAAAAATGGAAGGGATAAAAAAAAGAAGGAACCTGCTGGAAAAGAGGAGTTTCCAGGCTCCATGGCTGTGGGAGGTACAGACAGCCCAGATCCCATCGTGTCATGGGATTCCCACAGGGATCCTTTCACCCTCAGCACACGGTCAGTGGTCAGGGCTGTGCCTGCACATGCAGCACCTCAGGGATTTCTGAGAGAGGCTTCACCCCTCTCAATCTGATGGCTTAATGGTTATGGCTTACTTATGGTTTCGTGATATATAATGATGTAATTCTTCTGTTTTAACAATTTTCCCTGAAAGGCCGGGGTGACAGTAAATACACTTTGCTCTCAGCTCCTGGGGCACAGCAGCTGTTTGTTTGCAGCCTGCATAATAAAGCCTGTCCCAGCCCTGTCTCCCAGGGCATGGCAGGGCCAGCCTGTGAATCCCCAGCAGGGAATTCCCTGCTGGTCCAAAGGAATTGGGGATTTCTGATGGATTTTAGGTCCATGTAAAAGGCATATGCCCAAACAGGAATTCACGGAGGTTTTTCCCAGCAATCTCCTTAAGCCTTTCAGGAAAAATAAAACTTTGGTGCAGCAATAGGAAAAATGCAACTTTTTAAACCTTTCTGCAAGCGTGGCAAAAATTTGTCCTTTCATAAAAAACCAGCTGCATCCTTAACTCTTGGAAAGTCTGTATCCCTCTGTTTTGGTAACTAATATCCCGTCCCTGGTATGTTGTATCCATCTTCCCAGCTGCCCTGAAGCCAGGGCTGCTGCAGAGTGTGAGGGCCAAACCTTGGATCAGCTTGCCTTGGTATCATACACAGCAGACATGCAATGGCTTTTCCTCATCATGACTCATGAAAATGGGTGTGCCCTCAACTTCTTTTGGAGCACTTAACTGGAATAACTCAAATGGAGAGGGAACACCTTGTACCTTGCCTTGTGTGCTTGTGCTGGCCTTGCCACAGCCCTGGAGGAAACCAGGGATACTTGTCCTGCCTTAGAGAGGTCCTGGGCACAACATTTGTAGGTTTTCAAGGTGCCACATCCGTGCCCTTCTGGATCATAGAAACAGAATATCTTGAAGGGACCCTCAAGGATCAGAGAAGTCCTGACTCTGATGTGGTGAATAGCAAAGTCCCCATGAAGCTGAGATTTCACAGGACTCTCCCAGAAATACAACTCATCAGATTTATGGTGTGCTTCTTTTCCTTTGGTGCAACGTTGTGGGGGGAGATTTCACTAAAAATTACCTTTTCCGTGTGTGCATCTGCCTTCTACCCCAGATCTTGGGATTTATGTATCAGGCTACTGACAACCAAGCTGTTCTGGCTGAAAACCAAAGTATTTTTGTGCAAAAAGCATTAGCATTTCCCACGGGAACTGTGGTTTTCCAGTACCTTCTGCTTTCATTCTCCTTTCAGGACCAACTTTGGTTGCAGACCAACCTGCAGCTCCCAGGGTGTGCTCCCAGCTTTCCCAGACAGAGAGTGGCTGTGCTAAGCTAGGAAAGTCTTTTGATTTCCAGGTCTTATGAATTTGGGTGAAAAAAACTTAGGCTGCAAAACAAAATGTGGAAAACATAAAGGCTTTAAAGGACAAAAACTGAAACCCAGTAGTACATTTTTGAGTCATGGTATTTTGCTGAATTTTTTTTTTTCTCCCGTGTGGAATTCTGATAAAACCAAAATTGCGTATCAGCACTTTCTGAAGGTAAATACCTTTTCCTCCTAATTTCAGTCTAGTCTACTCCTATAACAAGAAGGACGTTTTCACAGTAGTTGGCTTATGTGGGATTGTAACAACCTGACCAAATGCACCAAAAGCAACTTTTTAAAATTTAGGTTTTTTTAAAAAATATATTTGTTGCCACAGTAGTGGTTTTCTGGTATTAACTGAGTTTTGTAAATGATAGCACCTCTGCTGACTGATAATTGGGTGTATTCTAGTCCACCTCAGAAGAAAACGGGCTGTTTTGTTTTATTTTTTTTTTTCAATTGCAAAGTTCCTCCCGGAGTCAGAAAACAATGCACCCAGCTATGCCAATCCATGGAAATCACTGGTTGTGTTTATCCAGCAATTAAAGGGGGATTACAGCCGCTTCAGAGCTCGGCATCCCGTCCCCTCCCCTGCACACACCGGGAGCCTCAAAGCCGCATTGTTCCCGCAGCGCCGGCGGCAGCCCCGGGACAAGGATGGGAGAGGGCAACTCCTGCCGGGAGCGGCTACGGAAAGCCAACAAACAGCGAAACGAAGGGCAAAGCGCGGGGCAAGGAACCAGGGGCACGCTCTCTTCTTCCAGAGGTGTTTCCCTGCCCATCCTCGCTACAGGGCGGCTGGAAGGGAAACGTCCCCGCCAAGCCCCCCTGGCAGTCGTCCCGCGGGGGATGTGCCGGGCAGGGCTGGCCCGGTGCTGGGAGCGCTGGTTTACCGGGAAGGATCCCTTTGGAAGTGGCATCCCCAGGGCCAGGGCCCCTGCTCTGCTCGGAGCTCCGGCTGGGACGAAGCAGGGGCAAACGCGTGTCCCTTTGAGAGGATCCCTTTGAGGGGATCCCTTTGGGAGGATCCCTTTGAGCAGGATCACTTTGAGCAGGATCCCTTTGAGAGGATCCCTTTGAGCAGGATCCCTTTGGGAGGATCCCTTTG